ACGGGAAAAGTATGTACTATGAAAATTAGAAGGCAAATACAAGCAATTTGATTGGACGAGAAGTTGTAAGTATGTGCTTAAATGTTTTGGTTAACAAGTTGTCTTTTGTTTCATCATTAGTATACAATTGTAAAGACAATGGATAATGTACATCCGAAAAAAGTTTACAAAACTGTAACACTTCAAATTTACAAATTTTGTATAGAAAGTGAGAAGAACTCAACACATAATCAATAACGCTAGAATTTCTACTAGTTGGGTTACCTGTTCTGTTTTTTTCCATTCTACCATTAAGTATAAACATTTTGTTATTTTTACAAAAGTCAATACACTTTCTTCCATATCCATTTACTACATTATCTATACTATTTCGAAGTCTTGGTATACCAAGTTCATCTAAAATACCAACATCACTAAATTCAACATAATCTGTGACATTATTTTCAAATGAATGATCTGGATCAGTGTCATAAAAATCAGACAAATTTCCCGTGCGACTATTATAATCGCCAAGCATAATAATGTAGTTTGTTTTATTACAAAAATTTTGCAGTTCAAATTCAATTTCAGTAAATGCATCTTCGGATGTATATAAAGAATTTACAGGTGGGATGTATGTAATTCCAAAAATTGCATCTTTTGGCAAATCTAAAACTTTTTTGTCTATACTAAACCAAAGTACAAACTGGCAATCTGACTGAATATATTTAATATATTTGTCTAAATATTTTTTACAACCCAAAGCAATACCACCAGATTTGTGATTCGCAAGCTTCTTTCTGTTTTTATAATGAAAAATAAAGTTTTCACAATCTATTTCATCTACATCATCTAGTTTTGTTTCTGTTAAACAAACAATGTCATGTTTATCTAAAAATGATTTAAATTCAGGATATAAAAGTTTGGTTTTAATACCACATACATTTAATGAAAGGATTTCAATAGTTTTATTGTTAACATCAATATCTTTATTTACAGGTAATGAACACGAGTGAAGGTCGCTAGTTTTATTACATTGGTCACTTCTAACGGTACTGTTTAATCCTCCACGGTATACCTAGTGCTGGCCTTTTCGGGGTCCTCCACGGGATCGTGAATATTTCGGCTGGTTGAATTCTCTCGGTCGAGCACCTTGTTCGTTTTGTTGGTGGCGTGAACGTGTCTGTCTATCGTTAGTGTCCATTTCTTTAGTGGTGTCTTTTGGTGAAAATTCATTCCCTTCAATGAATAAGCGGTCTCTTTTGAAGAAAGCCTTTTTCCTTTGACGACGTGCCTCTTGGAAGTGGGGCCACAGAGCCTTCCGACGGTCGTTTATCTCTTTTGGAAACTGTTCATTTATGCCGTATTTTGTGCCCTTTAATTCACTAGCCGCTTTCCGTACGAGTTCTCGCTGCTTGAAATTTACGAATCTACATACTATTGGTTTAGTAATAAATTTAACTGACCCGTCAGGATTTTTTTCCGTGTATTCTTGTCCGAAACGATGAGCTCGATGAAACTCCGGTAAGGTTGCCATTTTTAATTCCGATGTCATAAAATTTTGGATAATTTTCTCAGTGTCTTCCGACTGTTCAATTTTGTCATACATTGGGATACCCGTAAAAATCAAATTTTCCCGCATCGACCTAGTTTGTAGATCTAGTTGTCTTTCATTGAGATCTTCGAGATCATTTTGGAGTCTGGCAATAGTTTCGGTTGCTTCTATGTTTTCGGAGCGAATCTCAGACAAGCTGTTTTTAACTTCCCGGACATCTTTTTTGTTGTATTCAAATTCTGTGTTTATAAAGTTCAAACTTTTTTCAACCTCGTCGACTCTTTTATTGATACTCTCGACACTTTTAACCATACTTGTTACAGATTTATCAAATTTATTTAGTTTTTCAGCAAGTTTATCAATGTTTGATAATTTCTCACATATCATGTCTATTTTTTTGGTTAAATGATCAAGTTTCCCTCCGCTATCTACAACAGTTGGATTCATAGTCGAGTGCATTATTGGCTGCATGTATGTATTTTGTGGAGTTCCAGGATAGAAACCTAGGGTTGATGATGTTGGTGAGGCTTGTAAGAAGTTTGGGTTCTGCATGTTAGGAAATTGCTGGTATTGTCTTTTATGTTCGACCATTGGAGATTCATAAACAGGAGTATTTGGTATTGACATGTTTAAATCAGGTTTAATTGGATTGTCAGTAGATTTTAAATTCTTACTTTTGTTTACACTATTTCTATCAGTGTGAGCACTATTCGGATGTCGTTGTTTATTTGGTTTCTCACCACTTGTGTTCTGTCCGTTTGATTTCTTTCTCTTCCTTTTTGTTTTATCACTTTTCTGGGGACTCATATAGAATGTCTATAATATTTCCACCAAAATGTACTTAAAAGTTTGTCAAAAAATCACATATAAACACATCATAATCCATTTTGAAATTCAAAATTGTAAGAGCGAAAAAATATACGACATTTTCTTTCACACATGCGCATCCATTTATCTGTTTAAATGAAATACTAAATAATAACTTTAATGCACGTTTCGGGATTTATTTAATTGAAATAATTAATTTATAGATTTCTTGACGCTAAATTTGTTTTCTTGTCGCTTTTGTGCGCACTTATCTGTGTGTAATTTTTATTCTCGGTGTGTGTTTTTTCGGTTTATTTAATCTCATTAGGTTTTTTTCAGTTTATTTAATATCAGTGTGTGTTTTTCATGTTTTTAATCTCAGTGAGTGTTTTTTTTTTTATGTTTTTAATCTCGTATGTCTTTTTCGAAATCTAAATGTGTAATTTTTAATTCTCAGTGGTTTTTTTTTAATAAATTTTTCGAAAAACGGCTTAAGCATAGTTTTAACGAGAACGGCTGGCCATAACTATCCACATGACTTTGGACAAACGCAAGTGGATAATGGGGGCTGGCTTAAGTTGGACTGATTTGTTTTCGTCCTGATTTTCATAAAAAAAAAATTGCCAATAGACGTTAAGAAAGCAATAATCAATCAACCAATATGACCGTATAATTTGCTGTCAGTGGTTGTCTTGATGTCATATGCCCAATTCCCGTCCTTTTATTTTGTTTAGTTGCTTCTTTGGTGGGATAGATGCCGTCTTCAGTTTACCGTTTTTTATTTCATAAATCAACTAAGTAGGAGGCATGATAAAATATGTCATTTGGCGCTTGAAATTGCAAAAATAGTCAGAAAACTGATTTAAGCCTTTCAAAACAATACTACTTTTATTGATAACCGAACAGGTTAATATAATCTGGACACTTTAGTGCAGAACGGTCACCTGTGGTGTCACTACGACTTCATAAGCATATGTGACATAAAATTGCTATTTCACGCATTGTTTTGGGTCAAAATATAATTGAGCAACAGCTTTACCCAGCAAGATATTTTAAACATACTAACATCTTCATCTTTGCAAAATACATTTTGTAGCAAATTATCTGTTGGAGTAAAGCTGTCACAGTGGTAATTTCTAAATATCAACGACAAGATGTCAGTATGAGGCTATTTTGGCTGCTTTTGTTGATTTGCGCTAATTGTAAAGAGGTTGAAGCCCTAATGCCAACATGTAAGACAGAAAAAAATTAATACTGATGTACGACAGATTAATGTCTCACGAACATTTGAAGGATGTTATTTGGTACATTTTTGATTTTCTATTTCAGGTGGCTAAAAAAGAAGCCTCATCGTATAGCTTTTCCTTTCTATTGTTTGTCATCTAATAGAAAAACAAAGGATATGGGATAGTCTACTTAGACAAAATACTTCCGAAAATATAAAGATCATTATAAAGAATGAATGTATAAACAAACTCTGGATAAATGATCAAATTACTATTTGGCGTTGATGGACTTCGCGTTGATATTTCATGCCGATGAATTGAGCATTTGAGGAACGAACGTCGAATAGAGCCCGGATGTCGATCAGAGTCTTTCGTATATAGCGGCTTTTACGGTTCTTATTATTACATCATCACAGTCACGTCTCAGTCCTTACAGCTGAACGGACATGCTGGGTCAGCTCCTGATTATCCGCAAACTACAACATGTTATGCTGACCGTTTGGTTCAACGACACACTACTCCGTCTCTACAGCAATCTAAGTTAATCCCCTCCGTAAAATATTCAGTATGACTTCGGAATATATACAAATATTTATATTATAATGTCAAACTTGTCAAATAACGGTCTGGTACCAGTCTAACAGCAATCTAACTCAACGCCGTACACAGGGGCGGATCCAGCCATTTTAAAAGGCGGGTACCTACCCAGGATAATGGGAGAAGGGGGGGGGGGTCCAACCATATGTCCCCATTCAAAAGCATTGATCGTAAAAAAAAGGGGGGTTCCAACCCCCGGAACACCCCCCTCCCCCTTTTGGATCCGCCACTTGTACAGTACAACAAAAATGGTCCGCGTCAGCATGCACTCCAAAACTCATTGTGGGTGTGGGAGTGTTAAGCCTAGTTATCCGTGATATCGAGCTACCACTCTGATCCTAAACAGGCTTCCTGTAGATATTTATTACTGTGTCCACGACTCATCCACCAGTAAATCATCGACGTGGTTAGCGGGCTGCCGAGATGATCAACCTGGCCCTGGAAAAAAGCCGTTGTGAAGGCAGTACTTCAAACCAAACCAAAATTGTCAACAAACCAAATCGATCCACGCAAAACCAAAATGGTCGCCTTTTTCCAACTTTACGACAACAACATTCTAATGCTCACCAAACGCCTTAGGGCACCGAGCCGACCGTGCGAGGGATTAACAGCCAGTCAAGTTCGTTGAAAACCACCCTAGTAGTCTTATTATTAGAACTATAATTTTCCCTTATGTACGTGATATTCTCATTTGCACTCATACCACATCTTCTTATATCTATGTACGGACGTTTTTGTGAAAAATTGTGGGCTATTTTCATTCAGTTTCCTGTTTATACAGTTGATTTGTCACTGACTTGCCAGATTAAGTATCAATTAACTATTTGTTTCCTTTTACCACTCACCCAGATCGTCTTGACTGATAAAAGATAAACTTGAAGTTCCAAATAATACACAGAAAATATGATTCTGTCCATTGATTCCGTTGGGTACTATTAACATGTTGGATAACACACACCAACTATGGTGACTCCTAGAACAGAAAAAAAAGCGATTATCAAAGTAAATTACAGAATCTACCCATGATGTAATTATACGAGTTATTGTGAAAATAATGATATCCAATTTTTGTCGAGCCTCCGACATTTATGTCGCAAAAGCGAGACATGGCGATCCTAGATTTCGTCGTCGGCGTCGGCGGCATCAACATTTAGGTTCAGTCTGTGGTTTTATCTAGACATCAGTAACTTTGTCAAATCTTCTTGGAATTTTTGGAAATTTGGACAGGAGCTTGTTTATGACCAAAATACAGTATCCAGAGCAAAATTTTGAAAAATATTTATTTTCATTTTCCCGTATATTACTGATATATGGACTTAGGATTTTTTACAGTTATCATTCAGATTTAGTCTGAGGTTAAAATTTTTCAGTCATCAATAACTTTGTCAAACCTTCATGGAATTTTAGGAAATTTGGACAGGAGCTTGTTTATGACCAAAATACAGTATCTAGAGCAAAATTTTGAAAATGTTTATTTTTATTTTTCCGTATTTAACTGATGAATGGATTTAGTTTTTTTTTACAGTTAACAAGTAAATTCAGTTTGTTACACATCAAATACTTTGTCAAACCTTCATTGAATTTTATGAAACTTTGGCAGAAGCTTTTTTATGATTAAGAAATAATATCTGAAGCAAACTTTTGAAAATATATTTTCATTTTCAGTATTTTTCTGATAGATGGACTTAGTTTTTTTACAGTTAACATTTACAGACAGTCTGGGAATACATTTTTTTACACGATAAGTTTGTAAACCTTCATGGATTGTTATGAATCTTCAGGACCAAGAAATAGCATCAAAAGAAAACAAGAGGCTCATGAGAGCCTGATATCGCTCACCTATAATTTCACTTTCAGGCATTTGACTTATTTGTAGATCTTACGTTGCTGAACAATTTTGTCATTTACACTTTCTCTCTTTCTATAATAATATTAAAGATAATACATAACCCAAAACTGTAAACCTTCATGGATTGTTATGAATCTTCAGGACCAAGAAATAGCATCTAAAGAAAACAAGAGGCTCATGAGAGCCTGATATCGCTCACCTATAATTTCACTTTCAGGCATTTGACTTATTTGTAGATCTTACTTTGCTGAACAATTTTGTCATTTACACTTTCTCTCTATCTATTATAACATTAAAGATAATAACCAAAAACAGTAAAATTTCATAAAAATAAACTATTTCGGACAGTAACCCTACAATGGGTGGTCCAATTGGTCTGGAAATTTCATAGCAGATAGATTTTGACTTATTCATCACTTTAACTCCATGTCACGTATGTTCTATTTTTAGCCATGGCGGCCATGTTTGTTAATGGATCAAAACTTCGGATACAATTTATAAACCAGTTACCCTAAGGAACATTCAGTTAAAGTTTAGAAGTATTAGGCCCAGTAGTTTCAGAGGAGAAGATTTTTAAATGTTAGCAAACATGATGAACAAATTGTGTTAAACTGTCTTTAAAGGGCAATAACTCCTTAAGGGGTCAATTGACAATTTTGGTCTTTAAACTTTTTTGTAGATCTTACTTTGCTGAACATTTTTGCTGTTTACAGTTTGTCTTTATCTTCAATAATATTCAAGATAATAACCAAAAACTGCAAAATTTCCTTAAAATTACCAATTTAGTGGCAGCAATCCAACAATGGGTTGTTTGGTTCGTCTGAAAATTTCAGGGCTGATAGATCTTGACCTCTTGAACATTTTTACCCTGTCAGATTTGCTCTAAATGCTTTAGTTTTTGAGCTATTAGCCAAAAACTGCATTTGACCCCTATGTTCTATTGTTAGCCATGGCGGCCATGTTTGTCGATGGATCAAAACTTCAGATACAATTTATAAACTAGATACCATAAGGAACATTCAGTTAAAGTTTGAAGGTATTTGGCCCAGTAGTTTCAGAGGAGAAGATTCTTGAAATAGTTTACGACGACGACGACAGACGACGGACGAAGACGGACGCCAAGTGATGGCATAAGCTCACATGGGGCCCTTCGGGCCCGGTGAGCTAAAAATTGATTTTTTTTTTAAATTTTGTATTTTACTGATAAATGGACTCACTTTTTAAGTCAACATTACACTTTTACACTGACAGCAACAATCGTGACGAGACTCAGGGTTCCGCGAAACCCCTTACGAATTTTCTTTAAACTTTATCTTGCATATATGTGCAAACTGTTTTCTTAGAAAATTGTTGTAGTTTTCCAAACTTATAAAAATTTTATATACCTCGTGTTATTTGGAAGTGAATGTGCTAGTCCTCGACGAGATTCACGAAGCAGTTTATCTGAGTGAAATGTGGCAACCTTGGTCGCACTTTTTTGAAAAACATAGACCTGCTTCACTTTCTCCTGTCTGAAGAATGTCACATTTACCTGAAATTCAAAGCTTCTTTGTAGTATTTTGAAAACATCCCCTCAACTATTGAAAATAAAATCTATGCTAATACTGTATTCTTTTAAACAAAAGGAAGAGATCTGAGGTAAACAACAATTTAAAAACCCCAAAAATAAAAAAAGGTTTTTTCAAGACACCCAAACCCTTTTAAAATGTATTTAATTATGTAACACAGTACATGATGTATAGTGGCAAGTAGATGGTGTACCTTTCAGATCAGCTATTTTGTCTGTCGTAAAGGATGATAATGTTAATTACCATGCCGCCACATCAAATTTTAATTTTATTATACACGTCTAAACATGTGACAACTTTATGCCAGACATGTATTAAAATGTATTACGGTACCATCACGAATTGGCTGACAAATACGATATATCTTGTCTCACCACACTATCGACATGTTTTCGCAGTCTAATATATTTTATATACCATGATAGTCGACTAATCTGTATTAATGTAATCATAGATTATTTGATTTTCCCGATTGTGACATTTTGACTCGGTGTTGATTCGCATGGTTTATAAGTCCAATTTTCCATGGGGAGTTACAACTGTTAAAAAAAGAAAGTTTATTGTAATTTTAAAACTACGGATTCGAACCATTGCGTCTGTGCCATCGTGACAACACCGCTTGCACCGTGTCCAGCGCCTTAGACCACCTAGGCTACATAATAATATAGATTTCGGTGGTCGATGTAATGCCTTTCCTCGTCGGCTTTATCTAGGGTTGTAACACAATACATGATGTATAGTGGCAATTTGATAGTGTACCTTTCAGATTATATATATATATATATATATAATATTATTACAGATTATATATATATATATATAATTCGTCTAAATAACAGCCCAACAATGTTAGATCTGTAAATTTGCGGAAGCAAATGTTTTGTTCTTCCCTGGCCGGGATTCGAACTCATGCTACTGAATTATCGTGGCACCAAATCGCCTTGCACTATGCCCGACGCGCTAGACCACTCGACCACCTAGGCTCGACAAAAATCAAGCTTTCGGTGGCCGGGTGTTAGCTTTCCTCGTCAGTTTTTATCTAGCGTCGTAACACAGTACATGATATATAAGACATGAAGATGGAATATCACAGATCAGCTGAATTATCTATCGTAGAGGATCTTACAAATTAATGTAGGATGCAGTCACAGAAATAATTATATTATAAGTACGTCTGAACCAGTGACAACTCTACGACAGATTTTATCCATCGGATCACCAGTGATGGTGATACAAGGCTGAAAACACATTCTGTATACATAATTCGTCTAAATAACAGCCCAACAATAATTTTTTGTTCTTCCCTGGCCATATATATATAAGTCTAAATTGAAAACAACGTTCAAACCTATGATTGCGTTGGATAAAAACCGCAATTTTAATACTTGTGCATGCAAAACAAGTTTCTTGGTAGAGGGGTCTAAATACAGCAAAAACAACATTTTCCAAAAGAACAAAAAAGTGAAAAAGTATATTTAAACAAAACGCATTTGACTAACAGGTCGAACAACGGATGTTCTTAAACCCTGCTGACTGCCATTGGCGATTGCCAAATAAACGGATCACAAGATGTAACAAAATGGATCTTTATTATTAATTTTATACCAGACAGAAAACAATAAACTTGCGGAAAAGATGGTATACCGCAAACATGAGGTGCAAAAATTTGTACACCATATCCGGATTTCGACAATGAATGTCTCTTCAGTGATGTTAGGAATCGAAACGGTATTTAGAAGGCCATATAATTTACCTCAATTTAGGATAGGCTCTTGAATTTTGAAGAGTCGAAATAGGATGAACGGATCATATAAACCCGAAGGCAAATATAATACAAGCCCAAACGAAAAAATATAAATAAGTCTAAATTGAAAACAACGTTCAAACCTATGATTGCGTTGGATAAAAACCGCAATTTTTATACGTGTGCATGCAAAACAAATTTCTTGGTAGAGGGGTCTAAATACAGCACAAACAACATTTTCGAAAAGACCAAAAAAGTGATAGCACAAACAACATTTTCCAAAAGACCAAAAAAGTGATATATATATATGACATTTTGTAAAATGACTTAATTTTCAGGCAATTTATAAAATAAAAAAACCTTGATTATATAAAATGACTAAAAATACCTAGTCATTTTGTAAAATTACTGAAATTTTTAAACAAAATTCAATTAACGTCCTGTTAAGTTTCTGATAATTTGTTTAAAAAAAATGATATCATAGAGATGCAAATGACAAAAAACAAATAATATTCTGCAAAGAAAATAACTAATGGCAATCTAATTAAAATATAGACCACTGATTTCGTTATCCTCAGATCTATACGAGCACGCGAGTTGTTATAGATTTTAATTTTAATCAGATTGAACTAATGGTTCGGTAAAATTAATTTTATTCTTAAAAAAAAACCAGTTGGGAAGTTTTGTAGGTCTATAATAGGTTATTTTTTATGAAACTATGTTAAGTATGTACTCAATCTGTATTTTAGATAGTAATTTTATTATCTTCTTGTCACGATGGCGAAGGACAAATTGTTCTTACAATAGAACAAAATTCACAAACGATTTTTTTGAAAATTTAGATTCAAAATACAAGTGTGTAATTTGAAGGAGAGAAAAAGAAGGATGTTTTTTGCCGGATTGACTGATTGTTATTTGTTTGCATTCGGTAGCAAATATTTCATGCATATATAAGACGAGAAACAAATTGATAATACATCAATAGGTAAGTTCTGCAATGGATGGAACCGTATAAAGGATAGGGACAGAAAAGTTGCATTCCAACAGGCCACCTACAGAACGGCCAAAAGAGTTCTTAAAATGCAGAGAGTGTTGCACTTTCCTAACATGCGGCATCATAATGATGAAACAATGCGAATTTATACATCTGAAAAGCCAAACAGATTCACCTCTTTAGCATGGATTTCGCCATACAAGTCCGTGTTTAGTTGTGGTGCAAAGATATAAGTATCTTCATCTTCACTGCCTCAAGGGAATTCTTGGGTCTTCACAATCTGATGATTTTATGCGACAGTAGTAAACCGTTGTTAAAATCTTGAAATCTTCCAAGAAGAGACAAATAAAGGTGCATCGACAGGGTAAGCGTCTCCTGCTATGGATGCATCCCCAGCCACGCGTAAATCTGCTTCAGCCTGTTAAAAGCCCTGATAAGCCAAAAGATGTAATTATAAAAATAAGAAGATGTGGTATAATTGCCAATTAGATAACTCTCCATCAGAGACCAAATGACACAGAAGTTAACAACTATAGGTCACCGTACGGCCTTCAGCAATGAGCAAAACCCACACCGCATAGTCAGCTATAAAAGGCCTTGACATGACAAATGTAAAACAATTCAAACGAGAAAACTAGTGGTCTCATTTATGTACAAAACAATGAACGAAAAATAAATATGATATATAGCAACAAACGACAACCACTGAATTACAGGTTCTTGACACGGGACAGGCACATACAGAATGTGGCGGGGTTAAACATGTTTGCGGGCGTCCAAGCCTCCCCCTAACCTAGGACAACCTTATCATGCTAATGTGACTTTGAAAATGTTGGGAACACATGAAAAAGAAGATATGCATGTGCTTGCTTTTTGCAAAACCTATTGTTGGTCGAACGTTAAGTGTTTTATCTTACAAAGTATTGACAAAGCTGAATAGGTGATGGTCCGGATTTCACCAAATGTGGCTGAAGTGCTGTCCAGATTTTACGCCAAACGGTGTATTTGCAGAAAAAAATCTGGACAATTGAGTAGCAGAACCTGTCATTCAAACATTTTATGGAATAACAAATAATTGTCGATTTCGGTGCTTGTGGAAAATTAAATAATTCAGTAGAATTTATTTTTATTAAAACGAAAGCTTTGAAATTCAGTGATTATCATCGATAAAACTCCTCTGCTGTTCAATACTTTCACTTGCTCAGTTTTTGTGAACCTTTCGTTGTATGAAATCATTTCAGACATTTTGTAAAACGCCTTTCAATTTTTCCAGGCATTTTTTAAAAGACTGAAAAAAAGTGAGTCAATAGATAAAATGCCTGAATCTTACATTATACAAAGTGACTAAATTTAGAAAATGCCTGTAATATATATATATATATATATATATATACGGTAAATCGTCTACATAATAGTCAAACATCTTTATTACGAAGGGTTTAGGTTATTTTGAGGAAAAAAATGATACTATACACAATAAATAAATTGAATGTATGCAATACAAGTATACAATAATACAAAAATTAAAAAAAGAAAAGGTAAATACATATATCAATAAATTATATTTCGGATAACAAATATCCTTCATCAGTATGATGTAAAATTAATATTATCAATCTATGCTGATTTTCCTCAGGAAATATTGAACGTAATACAAATTAAAAACAGAAACACGGTTCTAAAATCTCATGCAAATTAAGTATTTATACAAAGGAGGCTGCGTATGTATGCATCAAAAATTAAAATACCACCCCCTGCTGCCGTAGTGTGGTTAGCACTGCGCTATATGAACTACACCTTTTCATTGATCCCATTTGGTGCCAACGTTTTATAAACAAGTATAGCATTAAAGGAGGGTTAAACTCATAGTATCGGCCTTCCCATGGACAGAAACAAGTGCCCGTGGTTTAACTTATTGCTCGGACTTACCAGGTAAACATGCTTACGTTTCCAGCTTCTCCAGGTATGTGTTGTATATTCTTGAACATCACGGATAGGTATTCGTTCGGGTTGTATAATACCGCTGTCTGACATATTAAAAATGCCTTTAGTAGATCTACTTGATTTGTATATAGCTTCCCACCTAGCAACTATATATATATAGAATATGATGAATTTATTTAAAAGAGAATGCATGAGGGGTAAAAGTTGAACAAAATTTTATACATGTATCTTTAAGACGAAACGCACACTATATTTTGTTAATTACATTGGACCTTGACAGATTCATTATAAATTTATGAAAAATATCGTGCAAACATGTCAATATTATATGTGTGGATGGATAATTTTGTGACAGTCCCTTTATGTGAACTTATATATTAATTTTAATCTGTTCAATCTGATACAGCACTAGTACATCATATGTATTTTACAAGGATTTATTTTTGATCGTCGAAAACAATAGTTATTTATGTCCTATTATAATATATTCAAATGACAATAGAAACAGAGAATCTTCCACAAAATTCAACTAATCATAAAAAAGTGAAACGCTTTATTTTGCTGTTATGTTTCAGTCCTACCTGTACACTGAAATTTGAAAAGTATGTTATATTCACATGTATTGTTTACAATACACTCTTGAAGACCTTCACAAATTCTGTAAACGGACTGTGGTGTCCTGTTACAGACAGTTACATTCTTGGATATATGGAGATATTCATCAGTCCCACATACAATCTTCGTAGAAGTACCATTTTCAATGTGTATTATGGTACCATTTACTAAAAATGAATGAATAAACTTTGAAACAGCATTAGTTTAAAATGCCATTATGGATAAATAATTTTGGTAATTTTTGTTCACGAAAAAGTTACTTAAACTTAAAAGAACCCGTTGTTCTGAACACTTTTTATGAAAATTCAAAACACATTAGTCTGGGAAACATGATTTATTTATTATTTGTAATTGGCTTCGACAAGCTTTCAGTGTGAGTGCTGTGAGTACTCTTATATCGGTGCGTTGTGACTATTGTTATTATGTTAATTTTAATACAGATTTTCAATAACGGTCATGATGGTGTCCACTTTTAAGTGGTTTAATCATTTCCTTGTAAGCCGCAACGCTTTATTTAAGTCATTTGATACTTTAAATTTAACAAAAAGGTCTAATATGTTTCAATACCTAAATGGTAAAGCTATTCTATAAAACACGTGTACAAAGATTTTCTTTGAAAAGTTAATCCTTTATTATATCCAAATCTTCAAAATGTACTGCCATGTATACGTAATTATTGTCTTCCCGTACTCTAATTCGGCGTTTTACGTTTCCGCAAATTTGCATTACTTTTCCGGAAAAAAAAGATGACGTTTCAGGAAAAAAAAGTCTACGTTTCCGCAAATAAATATCTTACTTTTCCGGAAAAAAAGTAACTATTCCGGAAAAAATAAATTATTACTTTTCCGCAAATAATTAAGGAATACCTGTTGATCGAAAACAAAGCCATAATAAAAAATAAATATTTATTAAGTTAAAGGTCATCATATTAAACATGCAAGTAAAATTCATCATTAAAATGTATGAAAACGTATGTTCAAAAGTCAGCACTAATCAGATATATCTTGATATGAGTTCATAAGTCAGTTCTGGCAGAATATTTGTAGCCAACATGTCGTACAAAGTCCACAGTAGTACATTCACCGTTTACAAGTTTTGTATTTTGTTCAAGAAGGAAGTCCATCTTCTCCTTTTCATATTTCCGAACGGGTGCTTTTACAATTAGAGTTCTAATCTTAATGTATGATGTTGTTTGCAGTTTCAATAACACATCGACAAAGACAAAAATGTTAGGATGGCTAGCGTAAAACTGCTCGTTCAGGTGGGCATGAAAAGACTCGGCACCATTTGTTGTTCTCTTTTCCTCGGGGTTAGGAGGTGATGCCCAAATGGTTTGTGGAAATCTCGAATTGCCATCTATATAAAATTCCAATATATAATCGGCAAACTTCATGCATTTATCGTCAGATGGAGCATCGGTTATCAATTCAATAAAGCATTCTTCAATCTTGTCAGTTGGCAAGTAAGCCAAACCAAAGAAATGTGTTAGCCATTTACCAAAATCCGAATCTTTGTCTTTGTAATCGGCACTCAGACCTAACGACTGAATTTTTCGCCACCAACTTTGTCCTAAATGAAATCTGCAACAACTGACTGTAGCAGCAGGAAATGTTTTCGTAACAGCAGTATGCATTGCACATTCAAAGTCAATATGAACTACCTGGGGCTGGAGAGTTAATCTTCGGGTAGTGCACACATCAATAAGCAGATCCCACATTTTGATGTAACATTCCTCGGATTTAAGTGGAAGCAGGGACAGTCTATACTAACGGGACTGGTCACTTATAACAAGTGTATAGACTGTCCCTGGTGGAAGTAACGCAAATACAAGAGGAATGTAGTTACCATTTTTACATCCATGTATCGAATAAAGTTGGTAGAAGAATTTCGGGTAGGATTTAAATGTGCCATCTATGAAAATATATATTCAAATATTTATAATTTACAAGGTAAATTTTCGGAAAAGTAATAAATACAAATTGCGGAAACGTATACTTTAAATTTCCGGAAACGTAGTATTGGGACTTTGAAAAATTAGCGGAAACGCAATACGCCCCTCTAATTTACCGACAGCTTTTCCGTATGCAGTGATCCATAACTATCACACCTTCCGTTAGAAATTCGACAACCACAGGGCGTAAGTGCGAAGGGGAAAACGCAATGAAAGAGTAATGATGTCAGTTTCGGAGAACTTTTTGTTTGAAGCAGAGTAACTTTTTAAAATGCAAAAAAAAAAAACACTTTATAAATTTGTTGCTTCCGAAGCGTTTTTCTGTATTTACCGTCATCAGGAAAGTTCATGCCAAAAACAGCCATGATGTATAAGTACGTAAACACACGAGGATCCATATGAACAAAGGAGGCATATAAGAAAAACCAAATAAGGTAAATTTTGACTAATGGAGTTGAAACCTGATATAGTTTTTTACAGTATGAAAATGATTTTCCCTATTATAAAGCAAGATTCTTGCATCTAAGAATAAATGAAAATATATTTAGAGGTTACTGATATTTATATTTACTAATTAAGACGCCAATTTAGGGGTTTCGTGAATCTTAATCGTTACGAAATTTTGTTAAAAAATATTGAATATTAGATAATTATTGTTACGAACACAAAACTACAGAAACAAATTTTAAGTTGATTCATATATTTTTTTTATATTATTTCTAATTTGCTAAACAGTTAAATATATCTTATACAAGCAGTCAATATTCTGCCAATGCCAAACACTAATGTTTAAAAAGAATGATACAAAATTATACTCACCGTAAACAAAGTATGTCTGGAGAAGTCCGATAAATATTTCTCGTAAGAACATTTCGGTACTCTCTGTTTTATGGAAACGTTATTGAAGAACCAAGTTGAATTTAATGTTTTAGCATGTATTCCGCAGTTGAACACATAATCTGCACTCATATCAGTAAAGCAGTAAAGTTCAACAAATTCTTATCATGTTTTACTTAGAAATGGGCAAAAAAATTCTTTTCGATAATTGTTTAAACAAAATGAAAAATTACGAAGAAAATTATTGGTTTATCCAGAACTAAAAAAAAGTAAAATTAGCCATTTGATATTTACATCTTTCTGTAATATCCTGTCCATTACACAGTTAATGATGTTCACTCTGTGTTCAAGGAATGCAAAAGGGGCTATGTTAGTATGCCATCATAATTAAGTTAGGATCAATAGATATGAATTAAATATCTTGACTACACGAATCGAATGTAAATTGGCCCATAGTGATCCTCCTTAATAATTTCATTTAAATTGGATATATCAACGTTCAAAAAGTTTCTACACTTTGTCGCATTGATGTAAATTTACAAGATGATCGTTCAATACGACAATCTGTCCTTTATATTCTTATAATGCAAATGAAAAATAATTTAAAGATTATCCAGGCAAATCACAGAAAAATAAGAAACATAAATTTATATAAAGGTTATAAAAAGAGAGATAAAAATACTTCATTTGGAGTATTTCCTTCGACAAAATGTTAAAATTTGTAACAGTCTTATGTCATTTGTCTGTAACAATTTTTTCAAGTGTTTTTACAAGTTTTTCTGATGCGAGTAATTTGAAAAAAAAATTACATTTTCATTTCCAACCAAAAAGTCAGACAGAAGGTAAGTGATGTTTAATGAGTATAGTTCATGTTATATGTACATGAAGATGCAGTTTCCTGGGCTCTGGATCGAAACTATTTCCTCAAAATCCGAATTATCGTCAAATTATGTATACTTTGCAATTTAAAAAGGCGGAAGATACCAAGGGAATATTCATAACTCACAAGTCGAAGAGAAACTGACAGCACCATGGCAAACAACGAACGAAGAGGAAACGATAAACAAGTCCACAACACGCTACAGAAAAAAACTAAAGACTAAGCAACATAAACCTTGCTAAACTGGTGCCACTGCTGATGGACGTTTCTATTTGATTGGCATTTCTGTTTTTGCTCTGTTTTGACTTCTGCACAGATTTGACATTTTCCTAAAGTTTCAACTAAATTGTAATAAGAATATTAAAGAGATTCTTGACATCTTGCACCTACCTTTTGTTCTCATTTTCTTTACCTTCAAAACGCTCTTGTAGCTTTTCAGCCTGGTCTTCAATGTTGTGCTTTTGGACTTTTCTCTCTAGATCTCTGACCTCCTTCAATTTACTTCAACTACTAACTTTATTTTTGTTCCCCGAAAATTCTATCTGATACACTAAGTCATCACGAAGCATGTCATCAAAATATACAACTGCGTTTTCATTGCTGCTAAGACCTCGTAATAGTTTACAATATGTTCTCTCTTTTTTTAACTTCTGTAATTTGAGGTTTGAAAAGTTTACTGTAACCACTGCTTCATTAAATATATAACTTAATCCTTGTTCTGTTCCAGTCTATTTGGTATAAGCACTTAAGCCTGTACTGTGTCAAGATATTGAGTCAATGTTTTTTATAGCTCACATGAATTAAATGACATAGTAAAATTCCATCATTCAATCACTGTTGTCCGTCATTCGTCGTACGAGTTCTTCTCTAACACTCTGCTTATTCTAGTATTTGTTGCATAAATGCCAATTTTTGATCGTATGCAGCAAAAGAGGAGCATGGAGGGCAATTCCAGTCGAATTTTTAAAAAAATGTAAAAGCAATCGAATGCACTGTATAAAAATAACAGTTAAGAGATGAAATAAATTTGCTACTGGATTACGACTTCTCCTTTGGTTTGCTAGTGATGGCGCGTGTGTATGTGTGTGTGCGTGTTTGAGAACATGTTTGTCCCAGTCATCATTCCTTTTGTGGTTATCTTATGTCACCACGGTGTTTGGTAGCATTATGAAAATTAGCAACATGGGACACATTGTCATATCGGTAAAAAGGATTACCACAAAAAAAGTATACTAAAAGACAGCTGTTTATTTACATTTAAGTATTGTGCAAATATGAACTTGAAAATCGTCATTTACATATAATTTTATTATAATTTCAAGGGCGACAATATAGTCGATTATACCTGTCAGAAACGATTAAAAGACTTCAACAAAGTTGACGAAATATATCATACATTTACATTATAGGAAATACAAGTTGTTTGTAGTCCTATTAGTTACATTGCAGATCATAGTATAACATGTTCTAGTGGAATGAATGTTGGAAGTATTGGTATGAAGTTTGTGTTTGTAAGTCATGCACCATTTGTTCTCATAACCCTTGTGAGGGGCTGTTGATGAAGATCTTGTTCAGAAGCAAAATCAGCTCTGACAAGGAAGTCTTGAAGATTTTGAAGTCTACCAACAGCAAGTACTGGCTGATGTTTTGTGTTTAAAGTTTTATTTTCATATTAAAAATGTTCATAACATATATATTTTGTTTCGAAAATCTGTAAATAGGGAAAATCGATTGCTGTTTTGTTTAAGTGACGATCACAGTTTTAGCAAGAAGCGCTTCTGCACTTCGTGCTTAATCTGATCGCCACTTGCTTTTATTTCGTAAGAATTAAAAAAAAATAAACTGTATTCAATTTTATGATATATCACTGCTTTACGTTTTAACCCAAAACTGATATAGGTCTTACAACTAGTTACAATAAAAATGAAACAACATCGGTCATATTGATCATGATCAAGGTATTGCGAAGAAATGAATACAATTAGCATTAACAAAATTTTATATATTTGCCTTGTAAATCAGAAAGATACAAATTTGAATATCTTTTATATGATTATTTCATTGAATATGTGTATTAACAGTTTTTTAATATGTCCTTCAATAGTTTTACTGTATTTGAATGTTCCATTTCGCTAGCAGCATCAATTGGCGTTTTGCCTTCATTGTTTTTTATATTCAAATCAGCTCCATTGTCAACTAACCTTTGTATTACGTTTCGGTATCCAAATTTTGAAGCTGCAAAAAGAGCCGTCTCGCCATCTTTGCTTTTGAGGTTAACATCGGTATTTCTGTTTTCCAGAAGCAATTCTACCGTCTTCAAATGATGCTCTTTAGCTGCCCTGTATAAAGGTGTTCCGAAGTATTTACTCCATAAATTGGGATCGGCTCCGTTATCTAATAATACCTGTACCACCTCATGTTTGTTTTTCCATGCTGATTTATAAAGGGGAGTTCTGCCATCTCTACATGCTTGATCTACATTAGCTCCGTTCTCGAGCAACATTTTCACAATCTCTAAATGACCACATCGTGCTGCTTTGTAAAGTGGAGACTCATTGTATTCGCTTATTTTGTTTGGATCTGCCTTGTTTTTCAACAATATTTCTACAGCTTCTTTATAGCCATTCCATGCAGCCTTACATAATGGGGATCTTCCATCTTTACCACATTTATCTAGATCAGCTTCATTTTTAATTAAGAGTTTCACTGCTTCGGTTTTACCATTGAGTGATGCGATATATAATGGTGATTCTATATGATTTGTGCTCAAATTTGGATCGGCACCTTCCTCTAATAATAACTGCATGATGTCAGTAAAGTTTTCTTTTGAAGAAATATGCAAAGGGGATCCGATGTATTCATCAAATATTGTGGGGTCTGCTTTATTTTGCAAAAGCAATTTAGTCATACTGGTATGTCCCTCTCGAGAAGCTACATAAAGCGTAGTCTCCCCAGTACTGTTTTTCAAATTAACTTCAACATTCTTTTTTAACAGCTTTCTGGCAACGTTTGTGTAGCCCCTCTCAACTGCCTTAAACAAAGGCGATTGTGCGCTTTTATTAAGACGATTTGGATCTGCCCCATTTTTTAAAAGTAAATTCAATGATCCAATATGACCGAAAGCTGCTGCCTTGTGAAGTGGTGTGTCTCCATTTTCGTCAAAAACATTGACATCTAAATGCATTTTAATTAACATGTTTAATATGTCATCATAGCCCTGAGCAGCAACTTCAAGCAGCGGTGATGTTGCTTTGTATGAGAGAAGTAATATATGTTTCTTTAATTCTTCATTTTTAGTGCAATACTTAATAAATTTGTCTCGGTATGTCTGGTATTGTAGTTGTCTGTTTGCAAAAGCAGTGAATGTAACTTCATTGTTGAATATTTCCCTGTTTGTATCCACAAATAATCTTTTAAAATACTGTTCCTCTTTTTCTTCTGGTACTTTTATCGGAAAAGCGATTTCACATTCTTCATTTATGGACTTTAAATGAAACCTGTCACGAATGATATCACTATGTGCTATGTCAAGTATTACTCCAAAGAGATCTTCGCCGTAAAATGATACAACGGCATCAAATATTTTATCATGAAATATTTTATAATTGTTCCCAGATACTTTTGTGAAATACTTCTGTAGTTTAATGAAAAGGGACCTGATGTCATCCTCTGAAAAATTTGGAATATCACAATAATGAGCAATTATCCTACACTTGTCTTTAAAAGGTTTTGTTCCGAATACCTGTTTTTCTAATACATTGTTGCATACAAGGAAAAGTGACATAAGAGCATATATTTCTTTCTTGTACGATTTTATATGTTGAAATACCTTCCAAAGTACTTCAAACGGTGTTTTGAAAAATTCATCAACTTTTACATGTTCATCCATTTCTAGCAACTTGCTCAGTGATTCGCATAAGAGTGGGAAAATGTCTATGTATTTTATTTCACTTGGCTCGATGCACATGATTATTTTGACATCTTTATCTTTGAGATATTTATTGGCTACCTCTTCTTGTTTTGCGGGACTGAGTGGAAAGTCATGTATATTACATGTACAAGAAGCTGAAGAAATGAGTTTAAGCTTTTGGAAATGGGGATGGTTTGTTATATGCGATCTACAAGAAAACATCATTCTCAAATTTCCATGATCAAGATAAGATTTCATATCGTGCATGAAAAAAATCCATTCATCTACTGTATGTAAATCAATAGCATATTTTCCAAACACATCGTCAAAAACAAAAACTTGCTTTTTTGAACGGTCAAAATGTTGCCTGACGTCTTCTGGGGAAAAAGAAGGAAACACTTCATAGCTTTCTTTCTCGGCGTGCAATGCTAGTGCAATATGGCGCAAAACAGTTGACTTCCCACTGCCCGATCGACCTACTACTGTCACACAATTTGACGATTGCAAAATTTCCCTCACTTTTGACATAGCGTCTGTTTCTACTATCTTGGTATCTTTTGCTTTCCATTCGTCTAAAACAGTGGGAGCTGTAAAATGAATAATTATTGATATAGTAGATATGTTTAAAAATAGTTATCTTAGAAAAAATCCAGCAGTAGTGAACCTCTACGATTATGAATTCGACTATTAATCCTCTTTTTCAACAAAATAACTTTGTTTGATCTCGCTTTAGTTTTGCCATAAGATTAAATGAGATGGAATGTATTAAAAGAATACAAGCAGTTGATTGTCTGATAATATCAGATACACACATCGACAAGATTTTGTAAACCGGAAATGAACTTTATATATTTTGATTTGAATTTACTTTTTGGAAATTGTATTAATGAATTACATCGATTAGAAATATTATGGTTGTAGTAATTGTTATATTTGTCCCTTGAATTTTCTTTTTACTAACCTTTTATGGTATTAGTACATTTCCCCTTTTAAAGAAACCACAGATCAAAAAATTGAGACGATACAAAGGCAACCGTCAAAATAATGAATGGAAAAACGACAGACAAAACCAAGAATAGACAAAAAAAGACACGAAAAGATAAACAGTAGTACACAAAAAGAGCTAACAACAATACATTAAACAATTAATTTGTTTGGTTTCTTAAACAACCACGTCTCCTCCTTCACTGATCATGCAATCTCTTTTCACAACGGGCACATTCGGCTCAATTATTCTGTTATGTGTTCTGATATCATTTTTGTTTTGATGTACGAAGACGTAGATGACTTCGTTTTTGCTTTGATATGCAATCTATTAGTTCCTCATGTTCTTTAATTCTTAACTAGTATATTCTTTAGTTGCAGTTCGTTTCTTTTAAAAGTTGTTGAGTGAGTAAAAATTGACAGTGTTGTTATGGTTCTCAAACCAAATGACTGCTTGACGTGTCAAAATAATACCCTAATGCAGGATACATATAAAAGATAAGAATTTCTCATCTATAGAAATTTTGAACAAATAAAAAGTATCACTTTTTTTTCTTTAAAACAAAGTATGCGTCAATATTTGCGCATCATGTTAATTAAAAAGGCGTGGAGTAAACGTCAATGTGACAGCAACCAAAAAACAAAAGGATAGGCCAACAAAGGCACTTCAACAAAAGGATACTATACAAAAAGGTCAAAATCTAAATCGCCTCGATTCTAACAAAGTTGTGTAAAACTTTAACAGATACTATCACAGATCTGCCACCAACAGCAAAATAACTGTGTTTGTATCAAAACATGACAAAGAAAATGTGTTTAAAGTCCAATTATGATTATATGATAATATGTATGTCTTCGTGTTATAGGAATCATCCTGTCTGTACATTGGATCTCGAGAATTTGCACATAATTTGAATGCGAGAAAAAGAATTTTTCCAAATAAAGTGATACTTACAAGGAAAAATCATAAAATTCACACTTCTTTCACTGGAAATCCTGCAATAATTTGTTACTACACATTTAAAGACGCCCTCGTCTTTTTTCTGTGGATCTCTTATAAACAAAGTAAGTTTCGGTACATCAAGAGAAGGGGTATAGTTTTTTTCGGACACTATTTCCCCATCTTTGAACCACTCCACAGACCTGATAAGAGATGGCCCTGTTACTGTACACTCAATCTTTGTGTCATTATCTTCATGAAATAGCACAATATTGTCAGAGTGAAGACGAACTGGACCTTTATATAAATATAAATAAAAAAATATTAGAATATGGAACATTTAACTTTAAATTCCATATCTAAAAAAATACATTTCAAACTTTCTCAGTAGAATACATAACAGTATTATTAAGTATTGTTTAAAAAAGAGGCAAAAGATACCAAATTGACATTCAAACTCAAATAAACTGACAATGCCATGGCTAAAAAAGAAAATGACAAACAGACAAACAACAGTACACAAAACACAAAATAGAAAACTAAAGACTGAGCAACACGAACCCCTCCAAAAACGGGGTGATCTCATGTGCTCCGGAAGGGTAAGCAGATCCTGCTCCACATGTGGCACCCGTCGTGTTGCTCATGTAATTACAAACCCGGTGATAAGTCTTATTCGGTTGGTCACATTCGGGAAAAAGGGGACGGGATTGTAGTTACGACAATTGGAGCATATCCGTCGTCATCTGTGAAACAGATATTCTCTAACGATCAACCAACTCGTGATGGCGTCCGTAAAGTTAACGAAAGGATGATTTCAACTTCACCATTTGGAACTCTTGGTTTAATAGCTTCCTTGTGAGCAGAAATCCTCTATCAAGGAAATCATGATAGGAAATACAAGCCCTGGAATATCGTATTAACTGGGAGATATATACTCCGTATGCAGGCGCTGTTGGGATGTTGCTACATAGAAATGGAAAGTTCACAATTGGGAAGCTGGAATCATCAGTTTTGTTTGTGTATACCGATATCACATCCTAAATATCCAACGGCAACCACTTAATTACAGGCTCCAGACTCAGTCACATAAAGAATGAGGCGGTTAAACATGTTTTTGAGCGCTAAACCCTATCCTTAACCTAGGACACTGATGTAACAGTATTTATCAATTATGGACTTTTGACGAGGTTAATACGTTATATATAAACCTGTTCAGATTATATTAACCGAGGACGGAGCACTCGCCGAAATGTGGGTTATCGAGTGACAGGACATCATTAATTTAGCTGAAAGTTTAATTGAAGAACTTTGCAAGATGTAGTTTTCTTTCAATTTTTAACTAGTTTTGTGTAAATTCTGCTTCATATGAGAACAAAAACAAGTCGGCCAGAAGGTAGCACAATAAGCACCAATTGGAAAACCGACTGGCGATAACAAAGTAATTTTCCATATAATTTCTATGTCAAAGGGTACAACTCTTGTTGAAAACAGTTGATCGGTGCTGATTATCGATACCCGAAGACCTTGCAGATGTAAATCTTTGATATATATTTCATACAAATCCGACAAGAAATGTAGGTGTGAGAGTGCTAACTATGCAGTGTTCATTATAAATTACATTTCAAATGGACATCATTCCTGAAAAAAAAGCTGATTGGCATTGATTTTCAAACTCGACCAAAACATAACTTATATAAATGTTTGATGTAAATTTGATAAAAAAAACCAACAAGACTTATATATAAATTTAAGAACGCTTACAACGCAATTTCCTATAGAATTTACATTTTCAAGTGACAAAATAATCAGTTCTGATTTTCGAATTCGTCCGTGGTACTACTTATATAAACCTTTGATATTAATTTCATAAAAGCCTGCCAAGAATTGTATATATGAGAGCACTTACAAGACCAGACGAACGCCTGGTATTTCTATGTCATCCGCACCGCCGAATGCAAAACGCTCGGTTTAAGTACTTGCCTGCTATATTCTGCCGAATGTGGCATCATGGTAAAAGGGCCAATTTGAGTCTATAATACTTAATGGTAATGAAAGACCTTCACTAACATCGCGGCGTCAAAATCGCGGGCGATAACTCTCTTTTTGTATTTCGTTTCTTTTCGAGTTTTTACGTACATCATAAAAGAACTAAGGATATATATGTTACATATATGTTACAGTGAATTTGTAAAATTAGGGATTTTGTAAAATCCCTGGAATAATTAGTGATTTTGTAAAATCACTAACAGTTTCAGTTATTTTGTAAAATCACTAACAGTTTCAGTTATTTTGTGAAATCCTTGAAATTGTTAGGGATTTTATAAAATCACTGAAAATATTGCTAGGGATTTTGTAAAATCCCTGATTACAAGTTTAAACTTGATATTAGAAATGTGTTTTTCCGAATATAAATAGACCAATGATTTTAAAATATATTTTTTTACTAAACACTACTAGTTAAAACAATTGTGCAGTGATTATGAATAAAAGGCATATAACCTGATATTAAGACTACAATTTACTTATTTTTGCCTAATAAGTTTGGGTGACACAACTGTACCTGGCCGCTTTTGGACATCCACACCTATTTTGTTTACATCTACTTTCCAGGACATCCACATTTTAAAAAAAACCTTGTCCATCACAAATGGGAGACAGTTTAACTGTTTGTCAAAAAGATATGAAATTGTCAATAGATACAACTAAACAGGGAATCAGTGGGTTCAGACTGGTTTCTAGTGTATGACCCAAACAAAATACCATGTTTAGTAGCAAGACGATAACCTGTCTCTGACTTTCCATGGACAATTGCAATTATATTTCTTTGGTCACATTTTCCACGAAAAACAACTGGGATTGGAAGAACAACATGTCTAGTTCTTCTTAAAACTATTTTATACCGACTTAACATACGATTAGCTTATTTTTCCATTGATTAAGAAGTGTTTGAACGTTCATTTTCAGTGACCGTTTCCATATCATTACTTTTGACGGAAACTCTTCTGCTATGACCAATTTTCCACGTAAAACATTTACAGTTTTTTACAAGTAGAACACGAAGTTGCATTCACTCAATTAGTATTAATATAAAAGGCTAAATTAACCTCAAACTTGTTGAGTGTAACCGCTTTTTTAAAAGATTTTTTTAATCAAAAAGAATTATTTTTTTTTACAAATTCCCTGAGATTTAATAAGGGAATCTGTAAAAAAAGATCTTAATTATTTCATTTATTTTGTAAAATCCCTAATCAAAATCAGGGATTTTATAAAATCACTAATCAGTTCAGTGATTATACAAAATCCCTGAAATATAAGTGATTTTACAAAATCCCTGATTTTACAAATTCACTGTTACATACATACTACTTTCAACATACATCATTATAGATCATTATACCGCACTTAATTCAACATAAATGAAAATCGAAGATTTCTGTAAGCAACCTCCTGAAGAAGGAATAATCATGGATAAATTTTCACCATGAGTCGTTGATTTGAAAGGCTCATTTGCGGAAATTATGAAGGGTAACATTATCTCCTATTAAAAAAAAAACATAATTTCATTTCATTTTATCTGTGTAAAAAGATATAAACTTTCGATTAGGACATTTATATCAGGTGATTAAAAGGGAGTATACTCTCCTTCAAATATCTTGAATTGTGTCCTATTTCGATACTGTGAAAGTTCCTTGAATATTTCCTGAAAACTTGATTAATAAACATCAACATGTCGTTAAGATAAACAAAATAAGTTATATTACTTACATACGAATAAGATGAAACCTAAAAAAACAATGACAATTTTTTTAAATCCCAGAAAAAAATACAATTGCTCGAGTATAGAATAGCAAGGATTTGTTAATAATTGAGAATAGTTATGCCTACGAAAAGTAAAAAAATCTTGGCTTTGGTTTGCTTTATACCTCTCTGTTTATTCATTGTCTACTTTGTAGTGTAAGTTTTGGTTTTTGAAATGTTCTGACTTATCGATTGGAAGAAGAAAGTAAACGTATTATACCGTTTGCAGTATGAATCAAACGGGTTTCTTTGAGTATGATCGAGACCAGACGTTTGGTAGGCAATTAAGCATTTAAACCAAATTACCTTAAAAAATAAAAAGCTAAAAACATCTTAAGGTCACTTTGCCTGAGGGTGTTTTTTAGTTATCTTGGTGTAATCAGGGGTGTACGGAATTTTACACCGGTGTGTAAAATTACGTACACCCTGATTACACCAAGATAACAAATGTATTTCTTATGAAGCGTTCCATTACTCATTTTTACATCGCGATGACCGTGAGGGCATTCCGATGTATTGTTGCCGACGAGATTTCCACTTACGTAACTTTCGTGTTTGACTGGTAATCGATCTATAAACAGATAAATACGCGGACTTTATCGAGTGCAAAATAACATTCCTTATCGCTTGTTATAAATTCATTTCTTCAATGAATACTGATAAAAATATTTTTGTTTAGAACATAAATTAATAATATGAAAATGTTTTGTCTTTAGAAATATATATATAAGTAAAAAATCATTGATAATATCTATGCACACGTACCGAAAAATTATGTTAACGCATGCGGAAGCATATCTCAAGAACGTTTTTGCGGCAATCTCCCATGCAGAGTTATCGGTCCTTGCTCTCTCTCGGAGCAAGGACCGATAACTCTGCATGGGAGATTGGTTTTGCGGGAAAATATGAATGCCTACTCAAATCCAATCTATTAGAAAATCGAATTTTTACAGAAGAGTGTCCACCATGCACTCGCACTGCACTATTATTAGAATAGTAGAATAGAATGATATACAAATGGATGAAAACTATATATACATGTAACTGTTATATTAATATAATATATAACAACAAACCAGAGTATACTGATTTGTATCACTACAATATAATAGTTATTACGGTGAGGTTGAATTTCCTGTCATTTGTTCATCATACACGCACGAACTTGTCTCAGAAAAAAATATATCTCTGTACATTAACCTCAGTTTCAGGTATAGAGATGTGATTTTTTTTCTGAGACAAGTGCTTTTGACCATCCACAAGAACTTGCGGTCATCCGATGTTCAGTACTTCAGTACTTTGATTATACTGAGGTGTACAATTGAAAATGCTTATGTAGAACTTTAACTCCACATTTTTCAACACTGATGTTGCTGCGCGTTTTCAAATATTACCTTTTTAATTTTTTCATTTTTTTTTGTATTTTTATTTGTGTGATTTTTCTGGGGTTTTTTTTGTGAATTTTTGCAAAAAGAAATGTGATTTTTTTTCCTTTTTTGTAATTTTTCCATCTTAAAATTTTTATTTTTTAAGTTTTTGGCAAAAATTTATCCCCGAATGCAAGATTCTTGCTTCACAAGAAATAAGTAACTTTATCTTAACTTCAAGATTCATGCCGTTTAATAGTTTTCTATTTGATATGAACGCCTGCTCATTGGTATGTGTATTTTTTGTTATTGTTCATTGTTTTGTTGATGACTAATTGAGTTTTGCTGCATATTTGTTATCTTTTCAGATCCAGATTTTTGGGGAAAATGTATTACTGTAATATATTATCTTAGCTTACCATGAAAAGCTCCGCAGAGTAAAACCATAAAAACGATGTATAAACCAGTTTTATTGTTACCTATGAAGATAAAAATATTTGATATAGATAAATTATTAGTATTTGTATTGCCATCTATAACAATATGAGACAGATTTTTTTTTTAAATGTTAAGTGACAAATATTGCATACATAACAACATATTATTTATGGATGATCTGTAGGTTTACTGAGAGAATTATGAGTTATGGAATCAGTTATTTGAAGATATAATACTTTCATATACCTCTTCCATCTATTACACACAAATTATCATAATTTCCAAATTAGTGTATCAAATGAGTTTTCTTTCGATTTAATGTAAGTTCTTACAGTAAGCTAGTAAAATCAAATCATATTCTCAACTACAAACGTTTAAAGTAGAAAAATCAGTTATGGGGCTAATTCTTTCTCACATGCCTAAGTAATAAAGACTGTCTTTTTGTATTATTTACCAACACCTATCTTTACTGTCTAATTTGAAGATTTATTTTGCTAACGGAAAAAAATACTTATGACCTGTGGTTGTTAACATCCTCATTTGTCCTTTGATGGGTGATTGTCTCATTAGTAATCATACCATATCTACTGATTTTCATATTATACACCTAGCATGGTCGTATTTGTATTTTTCTATCATGCAGTGGTATTAACTTTAGGATATCTACAATGATTATTTCATCAGTTATTTTTGTAATTCTCCATATAAAAATCCTATGGTTATCTCTTTTTATGCAGACTGTACATTGATCCAAAATCCACACATTATACATTTTATAAACTTTTTGTACTCTTACTTCTTTCCCTTTCTTATTTTTAGTTTAACACCCCTTCCAAAACCGACTCTATATTATTTAAACATATTCTATATGCATTTTTAAAACAGGATAAAACACAGTTTAAGATAAGTCATGGAGTCTTCTCTGTTTTACAATTTAACCATATAATATTAATAGTCTTTGATATGTTTGGTAAAAAATTAAGATATCCAAAAGAACGAAAAATTGTTAATATATTTCCCTATCACGACCTTTATAAAACTTACTAGTATTAGATACTTTGTTGTATTTGATATTACTGTATACTTCATTTATCAAAGTGCGAACTTCCAAAATGTTTACGATCCTAAAAAGTATATAGCATTAATATTATAAAATAATACATACAAAGGGTAACAGGAATTACCAAAAATATTGTAATTTGCTCCATATAAATGATATTGACTTTCCTCGAGAAGAAATACCTAATGATCGTATCTATATTGATATTATAACTGTTTGCAGGAAAGATGAGTTTGTAAAAAGTTGTTTTAATTGCGATCCAAATAGAAGACATAAGCTATCGAATGAAGTGAAGTAAAGAACGGTAATCAAAAACTTAATTCGGTTTTCCCAACAAAACAGTAATTTAAATTCGGTATCTATCTATTTTGTGTACATGCGAATTAACAGAGGTGTTAAGTATACGTCAATGAGACAGCAACCCAACAAAAAAACCCAGAAAATTCATACTGGAAGTCAACATATGGAAAAGTGCTTAACCCATAAATCAAGCTCTAAATTGCCTTAAGTTTAGGTAAGTTATTAATTTGCGATACTTGGACTTCAAAAAATCTGCCATTTCCACCAAAACCCACAAAGACAAAAAAAACCCCAAGATATAACTAAAGACAAGTTAACCACTTGTGAGGTTTCTGACTTAGGATGACCACATTTTTTAATACTCAATTCTTCCATTGTGTATCTCGGTCAGTTGCACTAATTGACCTTTAATTTGAGAAATTGATTTGGATATATATATATATAAAGGGTATATAAAAGTATCGAAAAGGGATTAGCACTCGCGTTGAAACGTCCTTCGGGTTTATCAAAAAATACCAAAGTTGCTTCCGTTATTTTCCAGTCTTTATCCACAACCATATTGTACAGAATTAAAATGCATTTAGCACACCTTATAAACATTGCTTTTATTTCAGGCTCTCGTTTTACAAAACAATCTTACGACTAAAATTGATCGAATTCATGAACAATTCAGTATATTTACGATACATTTTAGGGGGAAAACATGTTAGAAGAGACCTCCTGATCTCTAGCGTATCATTTCTTATTCTGTTAGAGCTATTTTCCTAATGCATGTAGTTTGGTTGGCTTGCTTGCTTTGTTTGTATAAATGTTTGCTCAAGCTTATACTTAAATGTTATTGGACGTATAATGCAGAGTATATTGTATTCAAGCTGATGCCCCGCCTATCTATTGATTGCAGATGTCAATCTTAATTACAATGCTTGAGCAAACATTTATACAAACATAGCAAGCAAGCCAACCAAACCTTTAAACTAGGAAAATAGCTCTAAAGATATTTACCTTTCTGATCCAACTTCACCCTGCAAACTGTCGACCATTCCTTGTATACATATGTATCCTAAAAAGTAGAATAATTGTTATGCACACGTTTATAAATGTTTGTCTTGACAACTTAAATGGCCATTTAATTAGATAATCAAAGGAGAAGGTATGATACGGCCACTTTTTGGACCTTGAAATGAAAAATCTAAGAGTATTATAAATCTACAAAATAACACCTTTTGTATTTGACATTAGTCTCGCAGCTATCCGTATTTATAGTTTGTAAATTTTGTCTTATACATTGTATATGATAAAACTGCGAAAACTGCCGATATAGTTTCATTATGAGCATGGCTTTACCCCCCGAAAGATATTTTGCTACAATATGTATTTTACAAAGTCATTAAATTATCTTTTGGTTCATATTTATTTGATAAAAAAAATGTATGTAAAATTAAAAATAAATGTATCTAAAATGTCCAGTTTTTGTCAAATATATCTATATCAACATGTTTATAATGTCATAGTGACATCACAAGTGACCTTTATGTGGTAAAGTGTCCAGATTATATTAACCTGTTGAGTTATTAAATAAAAATAACATAATTTTGAAAGTCTTAAAATATTTAATTATTTTTTTTGCAATTCAGGGGCCAAATAATGGCGTCCTCTTGTGTGATTTTGCATTGAGACAGTTTTTTATACATCATTCAATGTCATTATTTTAATGAATATTTCCTTAGATAAAACAATACATAACCTGTGTTTAAAAAAGCGGAATTTTCAGGACAAATCTTTTTATAACAAGTACAGTCTTCTTTTGATGGAACACAGTGTGTTTTATTTGATGTTTTATTCACAAATGCATATCCATTCTCAAAATCGCAGAAACAGGATCTGTCCTCATATATAGAACCATTACTATATATTTTTTGACCCTCTTCAATGCATGTAGATTTTTCATAGATACACTGGAAGGTTAGGTTTGACTCTATGAAGAAAGGTTGATATCTATCCACACTACAATGACCTTGATTCAGTCCACCTTCCCTTGTTGGTCTAAATCCTATTGATGAAAATAAGACAATCGTAAAAAAAACAATATGATATATTATCAGGTTTTCTACACAGATATGAGCGGTTTGTCTTAAAATGAATTGTGTTGTCTCATTAGGAAGTGCTGCGTTTAGAATACCTGATGATGCTTCAAAATGCAGCAATCCCTTAAAAAACATATTCTGGCACCATGCACTAAATTAAGCAGCCAACAATGTGGTAAAGGTATGACGTCGTATATACTACATGGACGTTCTTAAGAATGAAGGTATAATTTCTTCTACATTCAAGGCCGCGATTCAATGAACTAAATGGTAGACAATCATATCATTTACACATCTTATTTTAAGGTCGCTTCTAAATATTCGAAGGTTCCTTCAATGTAGATTGGCTACCTAAATTACACAAAAAAACGTCAAATATCGTTTTATCTCGCCTTCTAGTAAGTGTTCTACATCTAACCTTTCTGTCATTGTAATTAGTTTCTTGGCTACAATTTAACAACTTATTGCGAAATTTTGTAATAAAGCATATAAAAAATTGAATTCTGGAGTGTAAAAAACTCTTTGAATGTTTAAGATCCATTGCATGCTTTTGATGGTCCCTTTAATTCGGTTGACAGTTATGACTTTTCGACTCTTTACACTACTCTTCCATTTAATCAAATGGTCCTTTTAAAAAATTTGAATACAAATTTACTTGTTGCAACTTATATAAAAACCTACTTCTGTAATAAAAATGGCAAATATGCTAGATATACTTTCCGGAACTGTGATGAGAAGATTAAAGCTGTAATGTTTTCCCCCGACAACATCTATGTACGTTTTGGCAATAAAGTTTATCGACATGTTGCTGGTATTCCTTTGTGCACCAATTTTGCCCCTTCAATAGCAGACTTGTTCCTGTATTGTTATGCATAAAATGTTTCTGGCCAAACTCAGTCAAAATCCGTCTAAATTCCATTTAATAGAACATTTTATTAACACTAACCATTGCCTTGATGATATTGTTTGCACTAAATAATCAGATTCTTCTCATCATTCTAATAAAATTTACCTAAATGAACTGACTTTAGATAAATTTAATATAAACAGCAATTATGATCCTTTTCTTGATTTGAATATACACTGTATCAGTTTCACACGGGAAACTCTATACAGAAAATTGAAGCAAAAGGGAAGATGTTTCGTTCCTAATTATAAATTTTCCATATTTTGGACGGTGCGGTGCTTTTGGCTCCTTCTTATATTTTCCAACTTGTTCGCTCTGCCCATGTCTGTAGTGACGTTCGAGATTTCAATGAACGCAATCAACTAGTGTGTATAATGGGTAAATTATGAAGTCATGAACTTCGTTGCAACAAATTACTTGAACCTTTACCAAATACTTTCATAGATACAAAAAAATGGTTTAAAATATTTTGGCTGTACCTGTAGAAACCTTATTACAAACGGGATATCATATCCTAATTTTCACGGTGATGTTGTTTATAGAGCCAGTCAACTTAGATACGATCTTTTTAAAATTATTGATCCTTTGAATAAGTTTATTCTTAATTTATCAATTTAACAACGAAGTAAGATATCTGAATATTGTTTTGATCGGTACAAATATTGTTTCGTTTTTAATAGAATTAAAACATCACTTCATATGTATTGCCGTACAGTAATGAACACTTATGTTACTTATATGTTGGCATTGCATGAGGTCATCCTTTACTTAGACTGCTTATGACACTTTTATACTTAATGTTTGAGGTGTACGGATTTATATTTTAATCTATGAAAACATGGTTTATCTATTAGGTTAAATTGGACTTTGAAACCGCGAGTACTTTTAGATCGGTAATTTGTATCTTTTATTTTATTTTTGTTAGTTTTTGTCGAGCCTGCGACTTCTGTCGCTGAAAGCTCGACATAGGGATAGTGATCCGGCGGCGGCGTCGGCGGCGTAAACAAACTTCTTAAAAGCTTAATATTTCAGAAGGTATAAGACCTGGATCCTTCACACTTTGTATATAGATGCCTTATGTTATGAAGTTTCCTTCTGTCATATGTCCATTGTCCTTGACCTCATTTTCATGGTTCAGTGACTACTTGAAATTTTTTTTTTAGTATTCTTAATTTCTCTCTTATTATGAGTAATAGGATAACTATATTTGGTATGTGCATACCTTGTAAGGTCCTCATGCCCGTCAGACAGTTTTCACTTGGCCTAGACCTCATTTCATGGATCAGTGAACAAGGTTAAGTTTTCGTTGTCAAGTCCATATCTCAGATACTATAAGTAATAGGTCTACTATATTTGGTGTATGGAATGATTGTAAGGTTTACAATGTCCAACTGGCAGGTGTTATCTGACCTTGACCTCATTTTCATGGTTCAGTGCTTAAAGTTAAGTTTTTGTGTTTTGGTCTGTTTTTCTAATACTGTATGCAATAGGTCAACTATATTTGGTGTATGAAAATATTTTACGATGTACATCTGGCATGTTTTATTTGACCTTGACCTCATTTTTACGGTTCATTGCTCAATGTTAAGTTTTTGTTTTTTGGTCTGTTTTTTTCTAATTCTATAAGCAAAAGTTCAACTATATTTGGTGTATGGAATGATTGTAAGGTGTATATGTCTGTCTGGCAATTATCATCTGACCATGACCTCGAGATCATTTTCATGTTCATTGGTCAATCTTAAGTTTTTCTGGTTAAGGTTGTTTCTTAGATACGATATGCAATAGGTCAACTATATTAAAAGCATGTAATGATTGTAAGGTGTACATGTCTGTCTGGCAGGGTTCATCTGACCTTGACCTCATTTTCATGGTTCATTGATCAATATTTAGTTTTCCTGGTTAAGTGTATTTTTCTTAGATGTGCAATAGGTCAACAATATTTCAAGTATATTTGGTGAATGGAATGATTGTAAGGTGTACATGTATTTTCCAGTTGGGTTTATCTCACCTTGACCTCATTTTCTTGGATCATGTTAAGTTTATGTGATAGTTGTAGTAAAGCTTTATATTTAGGACTATCAACGTAAAATCAATGGTTAGTAAAGAATGCGAGACATTTCAGCGTGTGCACTCTTGTTTGTGCTTAGTACCGATCTGATGAATCAACTCCTTCCAAGCTGATTTTTACCGTTTGTTCTTATTATATACTTTTACATTATTGTCTTATTTTGGGAAAACATGGTTTGAAATTGACCTTGAACTAGCTTTTTGTTAGTTGTTTTCGTGATCTGATGAGTCAAATCCTTTACCAAAAGGATTTTTACTGTTTATTCTAATGCTGTCCCTGCTTATGGAAGAGTTGAGTGCTCACAAACATGATCCATCCCGTTACATTCTTTATGTGTCTGTATAATGTCAGGAGCCTGTAATTCAGTGGTGGTCGTCGGTTGCTGTCTGCCATATTTGTTTTTCATATATTGCTTTTAGCAAAAATAGTTTTCTCTTTTAATTCTTTTACATTTTGTCATGTCAGTGCCTTTTATAGAGCTCTTAATATATATTTGTTTATCATTGTTGAAGGCCATACGGTGACCTTTAGTTGTTTACATCCTCGTCTTTTTGGTCTCTGATGGATAGTTGTCTCATTGGTAATCATACTAAATCTCTTATTTTTTTTAGAGTCAGGTTTTTTCTTCTAAATTTTGAATTGCAAATCTAGATCTTTTTATATACAATGGTATTTTGTCGCTTTCACAATTTTTAGCTGGTTGACACAGACATAGAAATGTAAATTAAATCTTCAAACCTGGATAAAGGGCTATAGGCTTTGTACAAATTTCTCCGTATTCTTCTTCTTGTAGATCCCAAGCACAATGATACCTCTCCGAGCGGTTACATGTTCTACGACTTTGGTGAAATCGTTCAAAGTGAGTTAGGTTACTGCAGTTCAGAAACGATGATGGAGGATTTTCAAGTACATAATTAACACATTCTTTGTTTATCAGACAGGAACAGTCAATACCAGAGGAAAGTGCAATTCTTGAAGCCCAACAAATCTTTATTAAAAAAGGTAAAAATAATATCAACATAAAAAAAAATCAGTTGCTTTGTAATATATTTCTTTTACCTTCCAATAGATTGCATATTCTTTTAAACTAGAACTTTGTGTATGTTATACAAATAATTTTGAGAACTAATTCCGCACTAAAATTTGACAAACAGTTCAGTGTGTTTACCTTGACCCAATGGCCTTAACCTTTAAAAATGTACCTTCGTGGATAATAGCAAACCTTTAACTACAAAATATGACTTTAATCATATAACTCACTGTTTGTTAGAATAAACCAGAAAATGCTACCAAGTTGTCAAAGGACAGACAACCCCATGTCCGAAAAAAAGACGAAAAGACAAGTGAATAAGACAGTAAGAGCCTACATATATAGGAATTAAGCAATACGAACCTACTCAAAACTGGAAGATTAGTCGGTTCTTGCTCCATCTCATACTTTTAACTTGAGATATTACAAAAGTTTCGTATGTCGTCTCTTTTGAATCATCTCTCTCAAACAAATTTACAAATTAGTCTTATCACTTTTGTGTAGCCTCGTGTTGCGTCCTTACTTTGTAATTATTCTTTCAGACAATCGAATATAGTAGTATTAAAATGGAATATTGCTAAAACTTGCAGGACTTACCAAAAGAAAGCAAAATCTGTACATCTTTACACATGAATCTACAACGCAATACAATTCAATGATTATCAGTTGATATGTTATAGTTCACTTTGATTTCAGTTACAGCACATGGACTTGAGTGGTATCTTTGGTTAGCTTGCTTGCTAGCTGAACCATGAAATCATTATTAGCCAAGGTCCTACCTTCCTTTGGAAGGAGCCAATAATTAAACAGAGAACCAATCAAAAGTAGGGGCAGTATGTACACATTGTGAAACCAGTTTTACAAGTCAGTTAAAAAAATATGTTTTCAATTTAAATTAAATATCTAGTATTCAATTATGAGCTAATTCACAAGCATGCTGTAGGTGTGTTTGATTTGTCAATTTCATTTCAATCAAATACCTCTGTTCATTTATAACTAGCTTATTTACATGTGTAATTCTATACTGTAAGCAATAGTTAACAATGATTTAATCGATTTAAAAAAAACTTTTCATTTCTTTTTTATATATTTTTTTTTATATAAGGATATCATTATCTTTTATTTTGATATGTATTTTAGGGGGATTGGTTCTCTGCTTAACAAAGGAATGCGTACAATTTGTTTTGAGATCACCTGTATGATTTGTAGTCTTATTCGAACTCGGACTCCGAGTCCGACAGTTTTTGTAAACTCTATAATGAAAGTATGCTTGATGGTATCCGTAATGTTAGATACTGATGAAAATCTGCCATTTTGGATGAAGAAGACACTACGCATTTCGATTTTTTTGTTCGTTTATGCAGATTGTGTTCACAACTAAACCATGTAAGTATATTCAGACGACACATTCATCAATTCTAATCATTTGTAATGAATATAATGTGTCGAAAAGACAAGAGTTATCAAATACAGACAAACATTAAATCGATTCCTTATCACGGGTGTCATTCGGCATATCGAGAAAAAAGATCGTGAAAGAATGATGAGAAAAGAACATAATTGGCTAAGTTACAGTTCAAGCTGGGCATTATGCACAATCGATCGCCAGGTACGTCGATTGGTAATTTCCCCACTAAGTTGGTACAATGACGTATAGCTATTGTGAACAGACTGATCAAACAATCGGGAAAAAGGTTATCTAGGTGCCTTTTTAGTTTATGTCAGCGCAGCCACGATATGAACAATAAATAAGCCAATATTGGCATACAATGTACGCACGAACGACACTCCTCATAACCGAAGGTAACAACCCTTACACAAAAAAATGCGTAAACATGCATATATTTACAGCGCGGATGCATTAAGCATTACAGATACATATATACTTTTACTTTTCAAAAATTTATGCTCTTGACACGTTTTTAGTTATTATAATAACTTTGAACGAAAATTATTGAATTAAAAAAAAAATGAAAGAAAACGAAAGCATTCATGTCCGTTCTTATTAAAATATTTACACGCTTCAACTATAGTTGCAATTATATCAATTGTTAAAAGAAATATTGTTTTCTGATTATTAAGTCTGGTCCGACGCGGGACGTTTATGTTTTTGATAGACAAGACAAGACAAGACAAGACAAATACTTTATTAAAGTCTCACCACTTGTTACATATAAAATATACAGCACATTAAAACACAAGTTAACAACAAGAGCCACTTTATGAAGAGTTATGAAAGTCTATGAAAAAAAATTCTTAAAATATAATACAAGTCAACTATCCTGAGTATAAAATACATTTTCGCTTTATTATTTCATTTGATAGCACATTTGCACTTTTTTAATTGACATTTGCGCTTAAATTTTTAAGACATTTGCGCTTTTTAAATAAAAAAAAGGATATTTGCGCTTTATCAACATAACATAAAAAATCATTTAATATAAAAAAAATACAAAACATTCATACATTTATATACAGCTAAAAGCATCAACCTTTCCACATCATGCTTGTGTCAGATGAAAACGACAACCCTCCAAGAGGGTGGATGGGAGTAAATTCCTTATAACAACCATGACTCTTTTTAAAAGTCACCAGGTACAGCGGGTGGTTTAAAAATAAAATTTCAGTCTACACAAATTGAAACAATCTTACATAAACTATGATGGTACAGTTCCTCGGACTATTCATGCAACAGAATAACCACAAGAAGAATATAGTTTCCAATTTTAATCCACTAATAAGAAAGCTGATTGTAGAATTTAGGTCAAGATTTAAATGTTCCATCCATAAAAAGTAAAATAACAAAAATACCGAATGAATTTCGTTTTCTCTATCGTTTACCCAGAAACGTATACTATATTTTTTATAATATGTCTGGTATATCCGAAAATATTTTCTGATTTTGTCGTTTGATCCAACAAAGAATATGTGAACATCTTTCTATGACTTTGGTAATCTTTCTAAAGATTACAGGTAAACAACTATAAAAGGTAAACAAATGTATTGTCAATTTTGTCCATAGTGTTTGAAGCGCAAATGCCCTTTAGCGTTACAGGTAAAAAAAAAAGGGGGCAAACGTCCTGCGTCCGTCTGGTCACGCCTTGTCTTTCACGATTAAGAAAATGCGTTGCCCGATCTTTCACGATCAATTTTGATGAAAAATCAACAAAATTCGATGTTTTCAAAAGCAAAATGAACGGCTTCAAGGGAAAAAAACTTTTATTTTACTGTCCTATCTGACACACCAAAGATTCAGTTTCAAATATATCATTATATATTGGAATGTGACCATAATAGGTACAAAACGGTTTGTTTTTTTTAATGTATCCCATAGACTTGTTTTGCGCCTTTTGTGTTTTCTCATAAAGTACTGAATATTTTCTTTATCTTATTGCACAGTGTTATTGACAAAGCTGAATAATTTTGACAGACTTAATTTTTTTTCGGATTTGTTCCGCGTTTTGAAAATTCAGCAGATTTTTCACAGATTTTGAAGTAGAATTACAAAATAACATTCACGATCTAATCGCAATGCTTGACCACCGTTAGGTATTCTTTCACGATCATTTTTTCTCGATATACCGAATGACAGCCGTGCTTATGCTTCACCTGATTTTACCGTGGAACTCATAGGGTCTACATAACTTTTTCGGAATACATGGAATCTACGAAAAAATATACAATATACTATATTACTCTCAAATGATTTATTGGCAAAATAAAACTGGTTTCATTAAATTTAATCCAAAATTGTTTTCTAATACTATCAACAAAGGTGACGACCTATAAATGTGTTTCTGCTCTTTAAAAAAACGAATTTATACTACATGTTTGTTAACTTAGTCCAGTTTTTATGAAAGAAAAACAATGAAGTGGTAAAATAAAGGTGGTTTTATAGATTTTTTCCCTTTTTTTTTTTTAAATAAAAAATAATGTCAAAGTTGAGGCTTCAATTTCATATTGAATGAAAGAAACACACACAGCCAGCTATGATAGTACCTTAGTGCTCTTCTATTTTATATTTATGTAAAAACAATGAAAAAAAAGATATACAGCAACAACTGAATTACAGCCTCCGGACTTGGGACATGCACATACAGAATGTGGCGGGGCACATAAGAAAGGCACATACCAGAAAGTGCAATAAAAACTAGTAGCCAAAAACACTTGTCAATGATCTATAATACCGCTATAACAGTTACTGGAAACAGACCCAAAGTGCTCTACATTTGAAATGAACGAAATCATGTATGTCTTTTTTAGAGTGTAGAGGATCAACAAAGATATCAGGCTTATAATTGTAGGACGGTTCAATTTTGAAATAATAGTGGTCGCAGTTGTAACACATATCTATTGTCCATATAACTTCAATCTGAAAACAGAGATCTTGTGGAAGCTCACATTCAAGTTAAGACTTTGACAAATCATAATTTTAAATTAACAATTTTCATAAAATCTTCACCAAACTTATAAAGCCAAATATAAGTATGTGAATTTGATATCAATAATCAACATATCAGTTCTATAGATAGATATGAGAAGATGTGGTATGAGTGCCAATGAGACAACTCCATCCAAGTCAAAATTTAAAAAAGTAAACCATTACAGGTCAAAGTACGGTCTTCAACACGGAGCCTTGGCTCACACCGAACAGTAAGCTATAAAGGGCCCCAAAAATTACTAGTGTAAAACTATTCAAACGGGAGTCCACTTTAAATTTTTAGTTTTGAAAATGTTTCTCAGAAATAAAGTAAAAATATCTCGGGTAAAAGCAAAAATGCAGAATATAGCATGAAAAAGCTTCTGGCGGCGTTGGCAGACCCCCTCCCTGCCTATTGAAATGACTCCTATACAACCGTTTCTAATTTACGGCCCTGCTAGATGGAAAATGTTGGGTATGTTTACTTAGTCATGCTTCTGTCATAGAAAGCACAATCAACTCATAGTATGATCATAGTATAACTGGATTTCTTTGCGTTGTTGTCATATAGTTTATTCGTACATCATATATGACCTTGACTGAAATACGAATAGCAATTGGTCGGCGTAAAACACTTAAATTAATTGTTGAAATGAGATTTTTTAAGTTTCTAGGCACAGTAAGAAAAGGCAAATAAATTAAAATAAATTACTTCAGTTTCTATAAACACAGTAATTGAAAATAACATTATTTTTATAATTTGTACTTACTGCGTTTCAATAATATACTGTCAATATATCCGTTATCGATTTACTATTTACAGTATTTATTATTAAAATTCCCATGGTTAAATATAGTAACGGATCGTTCTGCAGTGAAATTTATATTAGAATTTATATGTCAAAAGACCGCGAGACGTTTTGCTTGTATTCAATGTTCTTTTTTGGGGATGTTTAGGCCTCCCAAACTCTTTATCCTCAGTGTTCATGTGGTCTGACGAAGGCTATTTTGATAACCACATACATAAAGAAGTAAAATTGTCAAGTGGATCTTCCATGTTGGTTATGTAATAATTACAGAGTCTTTATCGATTGAATATTTTATCACCAATAGACCATACCTGTTTAAAAAAAAAGTATTCCCACTGTTATGATGCATTGCGAGAAAATTGTTTTTGGAAAATGTACGAATTTTTCACCGAGTATTCTGAAAAAAATCCAGTACATAAGATATAGACAATATAGCAATATAATTGCTTTTTTTTACTACCCCCCCCCCCCCCACCCCTTGCAACCAAAGTTTGGGGGTATATAGGAATCACCATGCCCGTCTGTTTGTCCGTCCGTCTGTCCGTCCGTCCGTCTGTCTGTCTGTCCGTCCGTCCCACCTCGTGTCCGATGCATAACTTTTGTTTTGGAAAACCGAACTTAGTATGCAGTTGCATCTGGGGCTGGGGTGTGTTGTATACCAAAGTTAGGTCAATATTACCTTGACTTTGACCTTTGATCCCTAAGATAGTAAAATCTCGTCCAATTCGTGTCCAGTGCATACTTTTTGTACTGTAAAACTTATATAACCAAACGTAGTGTGCAGTTGCATCATGGGCTGGGGATTTTTCACATACTAAAGTAAGGTTACTCTGACATTGACTCTGACCTTTGACCATTATGATAGTAAAACTTTATCCAACATATGTCCGGACCATAACCTTTTTACCTTAAAACTTAAGTTAATCAAACTTGGTATGCAGTTGCATCCTGGGCTTGGGATGTGTCATTTGCACAAAGGCAGATCACTCTGACCTTGACTTTGACCCCTATGGTAGTAAAACATATCCAATTCGGCTCTTATCTTTTGAACCGTACAACTTCGGTTAACCAAACTTGGTATACAGTTGCACCATGGGCTTGGGTGTGTCAAATACCAAATTCAGGTCACTTTGACCTTTGATTCCTTCTATAAGTAAACTGTCTGATTTGTGTCCTGCTTTTAACTTTTGTTTCATAGAACTTAGGTTGACCAAACCGGCTTGGTATGCGGATACACCATGGGATGGGTGGTGTCATATATTAAAGTCAGGTCACTCTGACCTTGATTTTGACCTTTAAACCATTTAATAGTAAAACATTGTCTGACTTGTGCATATCTTTTGTACTGTAGAACTTAGATTGACAAAATTTTGTATGCAGAATCATCTTACTGACTTTTACCTTGGCTTTTAGTTTTAACTTCTGAATTTACAGTATACGAATCTCAGACTTTGTTCCTGGGTCAGTACAATTTTTTCAGATTGACCTATCAGTAACCATGTGTCAATCTAACACAGAGGCAATGCTTACATAAAATGAATAACTCAAAACCCAAAATCTCAAAACGTCATTGTCTCGATACTGAATTTACATCTCTATGCGGACAGCTCTAGTTGTTTTTATCTTTTTATCTTTTTACTTTTTATCAGCTGTTAACCTGTTTAGGAAAATGTTTTCCTTTTGTTATTGTCGGTTATTTCTTCGGCTTATGATATTTCATGGACTCTGCTATATTCTTCTTTTCTTATTAGTACATTTTTTCTCTCAAATACTCAAGCAGACATTTTTAAGACCATATATCAAACCTGGTTGTTCATCTCTAGGTTTAATTTAAACCGTTGGTTGATTTCTGTTGTTCATTATTTGGTTAAAATTAACTCTTTGTTTAATCCTTGATTAAATGATTCAGAAATAACCTTGATGCGGACCTGGGTATACATTAAAACAAGGAATATTGTTGTCTAATAGTACGATTCCCTGCTCATTAAGGGAGAATACGGATAGAGGGGCAACATATAAAAAACACTTTTATTGTTATTTCGTAATGATATGAGCAAGAACGCATTAAATAGGGGAAATAAATTAATATTAAACAAAGGAAGAATGTGTCTGAGGACACGAATGCCCCGCTCAAGCATTGCAATTTTCCAAGTTAAAAAGGTGCATAACTCTAGAACGGTAAATTGGACGGACGGAAAGACGGACGGTCAAGAGTACCACTAAATGCCCCCGTTGCCTACGGCAGGGGCATAAAAAGTTGAACGCCCCCATCCCCATAAAAAGGGGTCCATACACTAATCACCTGTGATGGTTTTGTCAATTTCTCTCGACTTTTAAGTTTTGAATTTCTCCTTGGTATCTTCCTCCTCTTAGTTCCATGGACATACTTCGAAAATATAACATTATTTTTATAAATTGTACTTATGTGTTTTACACATATCCTGTCGACAAATACGTCCCTTTTCGATTTTGTATTTTCTGTATTATCACAAATCCCCGTGGTGTAACAAAGACTTAGTAACGGATCGTTTTACAGTTGAATTATCAATATTATATTTTAACCTACTTTGACATTGAATTTTAGGATGCAATTTATTATATAATATATAAAAAAATATTTTAATTTTTAACATTATTTAGCTTCCTTGTGTGCTTTTAAGATAATCTAAAAGTGATTTTTAGATTATCTTGAAAACTGTATAAGATAGAGAGAAACTGTTCACCGCAAAAATTATCAGCAAGCTAAAGACTTACAAATAAGTAACTTGTTTTTGTTAATATGTCTTTTGATTGAGTTAAGCCATTGCAATAAATATTTTATAGGGTGTCTTTCTATGTTGTGATGTTACACTATTGTTTCAGGTTAGGGTGAAGGTTGGTGCCCATTAAAACGTTTAAACCCGCTGCATTTGTTTGCACCTGTCCTAAGTCAGGAACCTGATGTTCAGTGGTTGTCGTTTGTTGATGTGGTTCATAAGTGTTTCTCGTTTCTCGTTTTTTTTTATATAGATTAGACCGTTGGTTTTCCTGTTTGAATGGTTTTACACTAGTCATTTTTGGGGCCCTTTATAGCTTGCTGTTCGGTGTGAGCCAAGGCTCCGTGTTGAAGGCCGTACTTTGACCTATAATGGTTTACTTTTACAAATTGTGACTTGGATGGAGAGTTGTCTCGTTGACACTCATACTACATCTTCTTATATCAAAATACTCGAAATTGTCGATTAACTCAATGTAGGAGTTATTACCCTTAAATGACGATTTTTTACCCATTGTTGCGTTCTTTAGAATTGTCCTATGTAATTATTAAATTAATAGATAGTAAATGTTCACAGAGAAAAGGACCAGCATGGCAAGATCTACATGAAAATCTAGTAGCGGGATTGAATATTGACCCCTATTATGGGTTATAATCTTGATATAGTTCTACCGTTATTTTTTTTAATAGTCTCCCAGTCTCCCAGTGGATCTGTATCGAACATGGTCATAATCTTACTTATACATATATATATAGTGTTTAAAAGATAACCACCACTGTTGCTAATAATTTTAATGTTGCATAGTGATTCAGGTTCCTTATGGCCTCTAGTTTTTATAAGAAATTATGGAATTTCCCCCCGAGCATTCTGAATTTTTTCTGACACTTTTTTCACAGTGCACACGAATAGCAATATATATGGGGTTTTTTGTGTGGTTTTTTCTATTTGATACTTCTTTTTACTCTAAGCTCGTTCTGGAAAATGTTGTATGTCTCTCATCCACCTTTTTAAACAGTTTTGTTTGTATTCTGCCCTGTACTGTAAAACTTTCGCACGTATTAGAAGCAATGACAAGGTACATTATTGTTTTTTTTTCTAAATCTGTAAAATTTGTGGTATTCTAATCACACTACTTCTACGACTACTTCTACGAGGGTGTTTAAAAACCATGACTAACCATGATCATGATGAGGGTCACGCAAGGTCGATCCTAAAAGCAGATACATATTTCAAATCTATTTTATCACCAAATGATACAATATACGTATAGTCACGAGGATCTGAATTGTATTGCCTCCAATATTGTGTACGGTATTGTATATACTCTTTGGTGTAAACAATATTTATTATAATTATGAATAATACAAGTATAATTATAAACACATTCACAATTAGGATTCAGAAACAAGCAACAAGTGCTTATATTGATCCGTCTCCTTGATAAATTAAATACATTATACACAAATAAATCAAAACTACATGCTCTGTTACATAATAAAAATATTGATAATGTCAGTTGAGTTACATAATGAACTGAAAAGTAAAGAAAAATGCAACTGATAAGAAGAAATGCTTACAGGTTAATTGTGTGAATTATTAATTTGTAAACCTTTTAGATTTAATAATGAACCTTTGTACCATGAGAAATAAACTAATGTTTTCTTCATCTGAAATCGTATTTGAGCCATTTAATAGAAATTCGGTATCCATTGGTACCGTTAATTTTAGGCTTCCAAATGATATAACCAGTTCTTGGCTTATGTCCGAATATAATGGGCAAAATAATAAAAAATGTGAATTAGTTTCTAAGTCACCACAGCGACATTTAGGGGAAGAAACTAAGTTTCTTGGAATCAAGTGACAGTTTAAAGAACTTCTATCCATTCTTATATACTCATATATATTCTATATGCTCTTTGTTGACTGATATAGGTCTGTGAAATGTGATAAAGACTGAACACTTAACCAGCCTGACCATTCTATAGTTTTTATGAAAGTCAGGATTATACAGGAAATTTATCATTCAAGAAATGATCCAATATTGAGTACACCATATCGATTAAAAAGAACAAATTAGGAACAAATATTAGAAATATTACTTACGAACATGACGACAAAATTGATGGTGTAGTATTTTGTAATGTGCCAAGCGTAGTGATATCAACAAATTAATATTATTTAACACCTCTGGTAGCCAGTAGGAATGACGGTCGTCGAAAATATACACCACCTGCGGTTCATACCGTGTCTTTTGATGGTATGTTTTTCGTTAGTTGTAAAACTTCTGCTAATTACAGAATAGTCACAATACATATGGATATTGGTGAATTTTATCCGTCTTCCAAAGATGATGTAAACCGGAGACCTTGATGTCGTAAACAGCCACAGATCAGAAATAACCAATTCCTTGGCTCATCAACCGGAAAAAGAAAATTCAGGTTATTGAAGGATATAGTTGAGGACTATCCCAGGAAATAGGTAAAGCACAAGCCATCTAAAC